ATCTGACAGTGTGGAGCCCTGCTCCTAATATTGACTTCATTGTTGACATAAACTTATAAACGAGAATTATGTTGTTTGTTTCTCTAGACTGTTGTTTTTGCATTGTTTCTCTAACCACTCATATTTTGTAGTTGTTTGTTGGACTGCTTCTTCATAATGTTTAAGAAAAAGCCTTTAAACATGCCCACCCAAAGTTATTGGTGATCCCTACCAGGATCCAGGTAAATGATAAATAATGTTTTGAGAATTTGATAATGTCTATTGATACTATAGATTCGTGTGGTGTGGCTTCAATGTAGTGCCATCTGGTTGGTTTTCAGTTACGGTGCATCGATCATGTCGATAGTTCCATCCGTCTTCACACACCTGCATTCAGAGTACCAGCAGGGGTATAATACCTTGTCTTTTAAGTGTCACAGGGCTATCATGCAGATGTTAAGCAGTACTCTTTAGATTTAAAGTGGGCCAACTAGACGAATGACATTGAACCATCATCGATCTCAGTGGATGCCATTTTACCAAATCTAGATAATAAGGAGATGTAATTCTGAAACCTTGAAAAGATGTAATTATGCCCCCTTCCTTGTCACTGATATTGGTAATCCCCTCCTTCATTTCAAAATACTCATGGACTGACGGTACCATGGATATCACGAACTAGACCGAAGATACCATGGGTATCATGATATAGTCTGACGATACCACGGGTATCATGATATAGTCTGACGATACCACAGGTATCATGATATAGTCTGACGATACCACGGGTATCCTGAGATAGACTGATGATACCACGGGTATCACAATCTAGACTGACGATACCACGGGTATCATGATATTGACTGAAGATATCACTCGTATAATGATATAGACTGACGATACCACTCGTATCACGATCTAGACTGACGATACCACTCGTATCACGATACACCACAACAAATAGTAAGAAATGATGAAATCATTGAAATGCAACTCTAAAACTCTTTGCTTCATACATTTATACAACCTTTCTCTGTTTGAAAATTTTTCAAACCAAATATGTGCCAGCTAAACATGCTAAAGACAAAATGCAGTGGGTGTGTCCCCCTTGTAAACGCCAAGTCTGTATGTTCTGCCATGCTTACAGGTGGCGCTGTGCTACTTCGGCTGTTACAGGAGGTATCTCATTCAGTTTCTTTTCATAGGACATAATGATTTCACAAACTGACGATTCAAGTAACATCTGTAATTGAGGTGTGGGTGTCATGAAACGTTACGCCCCCAGTTTTTTCACCAGATATAATGTCCTGGCCACCTAGGTCTACCCAACAGCTTGTTCTCAAGTCTACTGTTGAAAAGGGAAGTATCTGGCAAGCACACTGTGAAACTGACATTTTCCTGGAACCAGTCATTGACTGTGAACAACGGTGATAATGTTATTGATTAACAGTTATCACTAGGAGTTGTAAAATATACATAAAAAAAGCTTTATAGAGATACTTTGCTGTTTACTATGGCAACAGTTTTTTTGTTTTGTATTAAAGTTTCCATGACATTTGATGCTATCCATGCAATTTGCGCAGAGTGTGCACACCCGTTTTTACGTTTATAAGTACTGCCATAAACGCAAAAGTATTGAAATCAATTCTCTAGTAAATGTTGAACATCCTTTAATCCATTTGATTGATTTTGTGGCTACTTTTCATGTCTGTTTCCATCTCGACTATTGAGCTTGATTGTATTGTGTTACACTTGCTCAATACTGTATGTGAAGGCAGAGAATGTACAGCGTGTTCTTGAAACAGTATTTCCTTTCAATAATTGAGAGTTCAGGTATTGTCGACTGAATTATCAGATATATTTCTTTTGGGGTGGAAAAGGTCTTCAGCAACCCATGCTTGCGTAAAAGATGTCTATGCTTGTGGTAAGAGGCGACTAACAGGATCGGGGAGTCAGGCTTGCTGAGTAGCTTGATGCATGTCATCGTATCCCAAATGTGTGGATTGATGCTCATGGCATCAGTCACTGGATTGTCTGGTCCAGACTCGAGTATTTACAGACCGCCATCATATTGCTGGAAGATTGCTGCGTGCGGCGTTAAACAACCAACAAACAAACAAACAAACAGAATCCAATGTACGATTCTTACTTTATGATAAACATGTGTTTGTGAATCACTTTTAAACAGTGATGACACCAGGTGCAATCAGCCAAGTCTCTCAGTCTATTCGGGGCAGTCGGGTAGCCTAGTGGTTAAAGCGTTCACTCGTCACGCCGAAGACCCGGGTTCGATTCCCAACATGGGTACAATGTGTGAAGACCATTTCTGGTGTCCCCCGCCGTGATATTGCTGGAATATTGCTAAAAGCGGCGTAAAACCATACTCACTCACTCACTCACTCTCAGTCTATTCACCTCAAAAGTGAGGGTTCATTGGTGACATGCATTCTATCCCATGCCATCTGTGTGTCCCATGTATCTTCATCACAGCAGTGATATATATGGAGCCGGTGTGTAGCCTTACACATGTCCAGGAAACATAACCTGTTTATTTCTTCTTTCAATGTCTTCATTTATTGGACTATCATATCATGGAATTAATCACTTATGTTTTCAAGTTATTATATTCAACAAACATGTCTGACTGAATATGGAAGCGTTGATTGAAGTGGTTGTTGAATGAAGTGTAATAGTAGGAGAATTCTTTTTTATTATTTTCCATCCTTTATGATTAATTTTTCAGTTTTATTGATGAAAATCTAAAATTGAAGAATTGTAATATGAAAATAAAAAATTAAGATCTTTAAAAAACAAAATTAACACACTATTTAATAATTTATTTGAGATTGTTTTATTTTTGCAGTAACATATTCAAAATTCAAAATATTCACGTTTGTACAGATATTAGATTGTTAATATTAGAATGATAACAGTATTTTCTGTACGTGTTACAAGTCCACCATGTCCTCCATGCTAGTTGATCCAATATACCGATGTGGATAATCAGCAGTAATCCATTTTACCTACAAGCTTGACAAGACAGGGTGAAAGCCTATAGCTTCTGCATGATGACACGCTTCATACACCACACGTCAACAAGGAGTTTATCCCATATAGGAAATTAATATTTCAAGCCACTCCAAGGTCAGTGGTTTCAAGGTGGTGGTGAGTTAGTTGCGTGGACAGGGTTGTGCTGTGTGGCTGTTAACCTCTAACATCAATCAATAGGTTCTGGGGAAATGTCCTGAGTTTAAGTCCCACAACGATGCCATTCTGAAAGCCATGGCAATAAATGATGATGTTTAATTCATAGTGGAAGTACTGGCATCTACTGGTACCAAGTGTATCAAGTAACACAACAATCACACTATCAATGTATCAATCACAACTAAATCTGCTGATAATATATTGCTTATGAAACGGCCTGTGGGGATTCTGGTTAGAATCGGTCCCTAGCAACCGTTGCTGTGGCGACATGGATTGGGTGGTCAGGGTCAGTGACTTTGTGGCTCATAATATCAATCACTAGATTGTCTGGTCCAGACTTGATTATTAACAGACCTCCGTCACACAGCTGGAATATTAGAGTGCACTGTTAAACAATAAGTATATACTTCGAAACAGTACAGACATATTTTATACCTTAACAGCTAAATATGCCCAAAATAAATATTTTATATTGTTCAAAATGATTGATTGATGATATTTTGTTTGTTGTTTCATGGCTCAATCGACAATATACCAACTGTATGACAGCAGTCTGTAAATAATCAAGTCTGGACCAGACAATTCAGTGATTGACATCTTGAACATCAACCAAGCCACCGAGTCTGACCACCCGGTCCCGTTAGTCACCTCTTATGACAAGCATAGGTCGCCGATATTCTTATTCTCAAGATGAATAAATGTCAAAAAACATTTTCTTTCCACTTAAGTGGGTGGTCTATTTATAGTTTATCAATGCCGTGTTAATAAATGATAACAGGCTATTGATTTGTGTTCAAAACTTGATAAAATGCATTCTGAATGTCAAAGGTTTTTGAGCATGCTAAATAATTACATACCAACACAAGAATAGACAAAGATAACTTAACAGGTAACTGATAACAATATCAATCAAATAATTTGCTGCGTAAATTATATGGAAACATTTTGTAACATAAATTCTCGCTGTGATCAAGGTCTCTAATGATGTTAATATTAATGGTCATGGAAGCTTGCCTGATCCATTTGTTCGTTTGTTCTTTAACGCTGCACTCAGCAATATTCAAGCTGTATGACGGCAGTCTGTAAATAATCGAGTCTGGACCAGGCAAATCCAGTGATTGACATCATGAGCATCGATCCCTGCAATTGGGATCAATGACATGCATCAACCAAGTCAGCGAGCTAGACCACCCAAACCGTTAGTTACCTCTTACGACAAGCATAGTCGCTTTTTACGGCAAGTTTGTCATTGTATTCCAATTGCGTGGATCGATGCTCATAATGTCAATCACTGAATCGTCTGGTCCAGACTCGATTATCTCTGGTGCACACCTCCGTGACATTGATGCAATATTGCTAAAAACACCATACTCACTCACTCACTCACTCACTCACTCACTCACTCACTCACTCACTCACTCACTCACTCACTCACTCGGGGCGGTCGGGTAGCCTTGTGGTTAAAGTGTTTGCTCGTCACGCCGAAGACCTGATTTTGATTCCTGACATGGGTACAATGTTTTAAGCCCATTTGTGGTGTCCCTGCCGTGATATTGCTGGAATATTGCTAAAAGCGGCGTAAAACCTCACTCACTCACTCACGCAAGCACGCACACACTCTCACTCACTCACTCACTCACTCACTCACTCACTCACTCACAAATACAGTCTATTTTTCAAGCCAATGAGGTTGACCTACATCAACAAGCATGGGGCTACATGACATGTCACACATGAGGTTGTGACATTCATATATAATGCAGACTCCACAAACACCTCGGATCATCAGGTAGACGGAGATGGCCCCCGCGGAAGTCGTATCTGCGGATACACTCAGTGTTATTGGTGATAATGTTGTGGCTGTGTTATAAGCAGATTGTATCAGGTAGGAGATCTTTACTGTATGATAAATTCTCTTTGACAGAGATACATTTCTGGTTCAGTTGTGACACGGGCAAATTTAATGGTGTTGTTCTTGCTGCTAGATGTCGGTGTTTGGGATTAATTGTGTTGGTGAGGGTTCGTGTTTATTCTTTTCTCGAGATTCTTTGATTGATTTAAAGGACAGTCCATTTTTGGAAGTTTGTTGGGAGAAAAATTAGGCTTTGATAATATTTATAAGCATCAAATTCTTGTTAGTTCAGATCAGGTTTGTGCAACCTTGTTAGTTAGCACCCTGGAAATCTAAACCCTGTAATCTCAGACCCTATTAATACAGACCCTGTTAATCAGGACCATGTAAATTCAGCCCCTGTTTATCCTGACCCTGTGAATCCAGACCATGTAGTTCTAGACCCTGTAAATCCAGATGCTGTTAATCCAGACCCTGTTAATCCAGATGCTGTAAATCCAGACCCTGTTAATCTGGACCCTGTAAATCTAGACCCTGTTAATCTGGACCCTGTAAATCCAGACCCTGTTAATCTGGACCCTGTAAATTCTAATTATTCTGGTCACCATTAGTGCAGAGCCTATTTATCCTGTTGTTTCAGACTTTGTTGTCAAAACCATGTTAGACAAGACCCCATTACTTGGCCTCTGCGTTTCACTGCATGATCAGGCCTGTTTCCTATTTCCATTATGATTTTCTCAACATTAATGCCGACCCGTGAAGATCCGGGGTAGAATAGGTCTTCAGCAACCAGTACTTGCCGTAAAGTGAGTGAGTGAATATGATTTTACGCCGCTTTTAGCAATATTCCAGCAATATCACGGCGGGGGACACCAGAAATGGGCTTCACACATTGTACCCATGTCAGGAATCGAACCCGGGTCTTCGGCGTGACGAGCGAACGCTTTAACCACTAGGCTACCCGACCGCCCCACTTGCCGTAAAAGGTGACTATGCTTGTCGTAAGAGGCGACTAACGGGATAGGGTGGTCAGGCTTGGTTGATACATGTCATCGTATCCCAATTGCGTGGATCAATGCTCATGATATCAATCACTGGATTGTCTGGTCCAGACACGATTATTTTACACACCGCCGTCATATAGCTGGAATATTGCTGAGTGCGGCGTTAAACAACAAACAAACAAACAACATTAATGCCATGATGGTCAGTGTTGACTGGAGGTTAAGTATGACAAAAGAAACATGTTCTAACAAACCACATGATGCAATGGACCTATTCTACTTGAATCCTTACAGGGGGTACCCCATTGCAGTGCCATTGTACCCACACCGCCCCAGTGGTCTAGTGGTAGAGCATCCGCCCATAGAGCAGAAGGTGTGGTGTTTGATCCCCATCATACCAAAAGACGTTAAAAGATGGTACTTGTTGTTACCCTGTCTGGCGCTCAGCATTAAGGGGCTAAAACAACGACTGGTCTGCTCGGAGCCAGTATACTGTGTCTTAGTGGGGTATTTATGTTAAACTGTGGCATGGTATCTCAGTGGGCTAGCACTATAAATCGGCATTAGTCTGGACTTGGACAAGCAAACAGGCAGACAGACAGACAGACAGACAGACAGACAGACCAGGTTCATGTTGACATTAAAACTAAGATGCACCAAACAAAATCTCAGGTGTGCCATTTGGCAAGCATTTTGCTGAAGTGTAAATAGTAATCAATGAATTGACATAAGTTGCAACCCATATTGAGTGCATAAATTTAAGTAAAGCACCTTTAATTCCAGACAGTTAGATTTTGACAGTTCACTTGCTTTAGACATAAACCCCCATTTTAACCCTTGTTGAACAACGTGATGGTCGCTGTCACATTTGTAGGATTTTGCAGAATTTCTGTGAGATGAGTGAGTGGGTGGTTGTGTTTGGGTGGATGAGTGGATTAGATAACTGGGTGGATTGGTGAGTTGGGTTTAACGCCGCTTTTAACATTATTCCAGCTACCGTATTCGATGTAATAAGCGCCCAGGGTGCTCTCAAAATTAGAAATAGGGGGCTCTTATTAGAATGTTATTTTTGTGAAAAAATTGTTGAAAGATAAATTTTGTGGTTTAAGCTGACAGCCTGAAATGTTGACAGATATATTTTTCCAGAATTAAATTGCCCATAATTAAGGGTGCATATAACACATGAGTGCGTATTATACGCGAATAAATAAGTCTTGTGTACATTGATCAATCGGAAGGGGTGCAAATTGGGATTGTTCACTAGGCAATATCTGAGCAAATGTCGCCATGGGCGCTTATTAGAGCAGGGCGCTTATTACGTCGAATACGGTATATGACGGTGTGTCAGCTAAATGTGGGAAGAAAGCCCAAAGTGATGCAGGTCTTTGACATTTATCACTTTAGTGGAACCCACGAGCACGGGTATGGTGCTGACAAACCTGGAAACAAAATCGGAGAGAACTGGAATTAGAATTCTGTGAAATGAAAACATGAACAAATTTGAACTCTTGTGGCCAGTTTCACTGTGAGGTTGTGTTGTTGGACTTGGTGTTCTGAACTAAGAGGTTTGTTTGTATGTTTGTTGTTTCATGCCGCACTCAGCAATATTCCCGCTATATGACGGTGGTCTGTAAATAATTGACAATCCAGTGTTTGATATTATGAGCATCAACCCACGCAACTGGGATACAATGACATGCATCAACCAAGTCAGTGAGCCTAACCACCCGATCCCGTTAGTCGCCTTTTTAGACAAGCATAGCAAGCATTGGTTGCTGAAGACCTATTCTACCTCAGATCTTCACGGGTCGAACGAAGAGGTACAGACTGTCATTGTACAACTGATCAAGGCTGCAAAGAGAATCTTCATAAAGAAATCATGAGGATAACTCCATAATTAAACTATCATTCAGAAATAGGTATCAATGAATATTCCTCATAGTAAATGAAGGGGACATTTGATTAAGCAGAATCTCTTGTTTCGACTGCACTGTCACTCATGTTAATCATTTCTTAGGTGTGAGATCTCTATATTCTGTTACAAACTGTTCAATTTTTTCAACATTACTATTATCTAGTTTATTAGTCTAGTCATTTTTATCCTAACCGAATATTAATTGTGCAAAGTCATGTTTTAAAAAGTAAATACATGGACACAATGTATCATTGATGTATTGCCATGACAACACAGTGAATACTGTTTTCTTGACAACTACTAATATTTACTACTCTGTATGTATGCGACATGGCGACATGGCTAGGTTGCTGGATTATAATCACGTCATTGTCAGGAAGATAGAGCTCTAATGGGACATTTATTGTTGTTTGCTTGTTTCCTTTGGGAATCTTTCATAAGCTGTGCCTGACATGTCACTTATTACTTCTTGTTGTTATGTATTGATTATTTCCACAGTGCTACCCATCTGGGAGATTGTTTTTTTCACAGAAAGAGTTGTGATAAAAAGGGTCATTTTGTTATTGCAGGCATAACTTAAATTATAGTCATCATGTGTTTGCAGTGTTTTCAGTGTTATTGTGTATTCGATAACCAGAAATTTCAAACCTATGACGTTAGGCAGGGTTATCAGATGTTCCTAGTAGGGCTGGGACCCACTCTCTAGGTCTCAAGTTGTGTAGAAAATGTCTGATTGGGAATTGTTTAGCTGTAGCCCTGGCAAAAACTATTCAGATACATGTATCAAACGATCAGATTATCCGTACACCGAAGTTGACTGAAGCTCAATCTTTACTCAAACATATATAAGTCAAAAGGAATGTGTGCATCATCAGAAAGAAATACGAACATTAGCGACTTGTAGTGGAATCACTGAGCTATAGTGAGGTTTTGTCTTTAAGCAATATATCACGTGACTAATTACAGGTCTGGGTAGTACTGTGGTCACCGGGTCCTACTCAAGACCCACCCAACCGAGTACCTGAGTTATCCGTCCCAGCCCTCTTTCCTGGTTCCCCGCTTGTATGGGACTGCTTCTGTGGTGTAGAGGATAGAGCCCTTTCCCTGGGGAGATGAAGGTCTGTGGATCAATCCCCAGCTACATACCACAAAACGTTAAAAGACAGTACTTGTTGTCCTGCCTGGCGCTCGACATCAAGGGGATAAATAAGAACTTGTCGCACCTGAGTCATTATACTGTGTCTGAGTTGGGTATTCATGTAAAACTGGGATGGTATCTCAGTGGGCTAGCACTATCAAACCAGCAATAGTCCTGACTAGTAAAAGCATGCATGCACACACATTAGCATGCACATCACTTTAACAGTGCAATAATCTTGAACCTCACCTCATATTGTATGCTCAGTAAGCATGGTTTTGTTTCTGTGTTTGTTGTTTAATGCCACACTCAGCAATATTCCAGCTATATGCACTGTCTGTAAATAATCAAGTCTAGACCAGACAATCCAGTGATTGACATCATGAGCATCAATCCACGCAATTGGGATCGATGACATGCATCAACCAAGTCAGCGAGCCTGACCACCCGATCCCGTTAGTCGCTTTATACGACAAGCAACATTGTTAATTACAATGGCTCATTTACGTGAACCCTCAGGTGTAACAGACACGTCATTAATATAGAATGCTATGGCATGATCTTGCTATGACAAAGGATGATGTGATATATGTATGTTTCCATGACAACTGTACCCTCTGGATCGCAGAATTAATGCAGGGTAAATAAAGAGAGGCAAAGTTTTTACCTCAAATATTTATGAAACTGAATATTTAACGTACAATGATTACAGACAATTAAGAATTGACCTCAATATTTTGTGTGTTTATGGATGTATAATCGTAAAAAACGGTGTGCACACTTTGCATCAATCCCCTACATACAATAATATTTTGAATTCAAGTCAATTTGGGAAATATTATGTCTGATAAACCTATCCCTGCATTGTGAATTTTTGTACAGACTTTAAGCATGATTAATACAACTTGTTTTTCATATGTTTTTTTAATTTATGGTTTATAGATCATAACTCAAGACTTTGGGTAAACAAAATAAAAAAAATTAAAATAATAATATCAGAATTCTGAATTTATACAATATCATTTGACAATGTTTGTGTTGGTAGGGTTTGGAAATAATTGATGCCATGTATGTTTACTAGGATACTTCCTATGCAGTGTAGATATATTTTTTGTACCTCCTTTTATGTTAATATTAATCATGTTAAGAGGTTTGGGCTCCAGTTGATCTTAGCCAATAAATAAAAGATGTAAGACCTAAGCACAAAACCATTCCCAACATTCTGTGATTGTGTCACTCAGGGATTCTGAATCAGGATAGGGCCCCAGCACCCAAATGATTGTGCCCCTCAAGGATTCTAGATCAGGATAGGGCCCCAGCACCCAAATGATTGTGTCCCTCAAGGGTTCTAGATCAGGATAGGTCCCCAGCACCCAAATGATTGTGTCCCTTAAGGATTCTGGATCAGACTAGGTCCCCAGCACCCAAATGATTGTGTCCCTTAAGGATTCTGGATCAGACTAGGTCCCCAGCACCCCAATGATTGTGTCCCTCAAGGATTCTGGATCAGGAAAGGTCCCCAGCACCCAAATGATTGTGTCCCTTAAGGATTCTGGATCAGACTAGGTCTCCAGCACCCCAATGATTGTGTCCCTCAAGGATTCTGGATCAGACTAGGTCCCCAGCACCCAAATGATTGTGTCCCTCAAGGATTCTGGATCAGGAAAGGTCCCCAGCACCCAAATGATTGTGTCCCTCAGAGATTCTGGATCAGGATAGGTCCCCAGCACCCAAATGATTGTACCCCTTGAAAAAAAAGTTATGCTTCAGACTGTTGATAATAAAGGAAATTGTCTGTCACAAAAATACATCCTTGCAAGATGTGTGCTTATATAAAATATCTGGTTTTGCAGATACCAAATCTCCATTCAGAATCCCAATAGCCTGTCCCTTAAGAGTCCATACGAGACCTGAATGATTGCGTGTAATGATGCCCCAGTGACTTGTTGAGTGAGTGAGTTGGGTTTAACGCCGCTTTTAACAGTATTACAGTTATGTCGTGGTGAGTCAGCTTAATGTGGGAGGAAAGCCCGAAGTGATGCAGGTCTCAGACGTTTACCACTTCGTTGAAACCCACGAGCACGGGTATGGTGCTGACAAACCTAGAAACATAATTGAGGCGAACTGGGATTCGGACCACAATCATAGGTTTCTGGCATGCCTAAGGGACGCAACTCTGCACAGCGACGGCTGCCTTAGACAACTGGGCCGCCGGTGCCCCGTGACATTGTTGATGATGCCATCAGTGGAGTCAGTGCTGACTCACATCCCATTGACCACAGCCAGTCGTAATATATCTGGAATATTGCCGACTAATACAAAACAGCAACATTAAGTGACTACTGGAGTACATGATGAAGGGTTCACCAGGGATGTTAACTGGTTGAATGAATGAACAAATGAAGCATGTAGACATGTTCCTTTGTATGCCCAGCCGGTTATGATGTGACACACTCGTTAGACTTGTTCAAATAAATTTATTGTTTCCCTCAACCCATTCATCCTACAATTGCCATGCACTGTTAAAAATGACTTTTTCAAGGCAAATTTCGTTTTTGGACTAGATTCCAACTTTTGCTCAAGCCAAGCCATTCATCAGGTGTCATTCATTCATAGTTGAACTGAATTGTGGTCACTACAGCCTTGGTCCTGCCTCTTTATGATGTAAGCATGGACGTACAAGATACAAGGGGCATAAGATACAAGCGACACAACTCTTTCCATAAACAAGAAAACTCTTAATTTTAATGGGGGCGGTTGGTAGCCTAGTGGATAAAGCGTTCGCTCATCACGCCGAAGGGCTGGGTTTGATTCCTGACATGTGTAAAGCCCATTTGTGGTGTCCCCCACAGTGATCTTGCTGGAATATTGTTAAAAGCGGCGTTAACCCATATTCACTCACTCACTCATAATTTTAAGCGTAATAAGCGCCCGGCTCTAATAAGCGCCCATGGCGACATTTGCTAAGATATTGGCTAGTGAACAATCCCAATTAGCACCCCTTCCGATTGATCAATGTACACAAGACTTATTTATTCGCGTATAATACGCACTCATGTGTTATATGCACCCTTAATTATGGGCATTTAATTCTGGAAAAATATATCTGTCGTACATAAACATTTCAGGCTGTCAGCATAAACCACGAAATTTATCTTTCAACTCTGTATTCTTCACCAAAATAACATTCTAATAAGAGCCCCCTATTTCTAATTTTGAAAACCGTGGGCGCTTATTACATCGAATACGGTAATTTGGTCCTATATAAATGGAAAACATTTTGTTATGTTTTTCTTATTTTTTAACTAACTAAAATATTATTAACTCTGGCATTAAATATTTTGCTCAGTAGAAGGAACACACCTTTATTAAACAAATTTCCTGGCTTTGTTGAAATATATTTGTTATGTATTAAAATAATTATAGTTATTTAGGAAATATGTATTTGCAAATTATGTGACTGAGTGCTTTTTCGTTTCCACCCGTGAAGATCCGGGGTAGAATAGGTCTTCAGCAACCCATGCTTGCCGTAAAACGTGACTATGCTTGTCGTAAGAGGCGACTAACGGGATTGGGTGGTCAGGCTCGCTGACTTGGTTGATGCATGTCATCGTGTCCCAATTGCGTAGATCGATGCTCAGGATGTCAATGACTGAATTGTCTGGTCCAGACTCGATTATTTACAGACAACTGTCATATTGCTAGAATATTGCTGAGTGCGTCGTTAAACAACAAACAAACAAATAGAGTCCATTGTACGATTCTTACTTTATCATAAACACGTGTTTGTGAATCACCATTAAACAGTGATGACACCAGGTGTTAAACCCTATACTTGTTGTAAGAGGCCACTTAAATGATCAGGTGGTCAGACTCAATGACTTGGTTGATGCATGTCATCATATCTAGATTACATAGATCGATGCTCATGATGTCAATCACTGGACTGTCTGGTCCAGGCTCGAATACTCACAGATCGTTGTCATAAAGCTGGACTATTGCTGAGTGTGGCATTAAACAACAAACAAAAAGTTAGATATAGCTAGTACAGTGCAACCTAATTTTTCTATGAAAGAACAAACCAAACAATTTTATTTTTCACAACGCATTTTTTCAGGACATGAGACTCGATTATTTACCGACTGCCATCATATAGCTGGACTATTGAAAAAAATCACAAGAAACAAGAATATGTTTTATCTGGCCTTCACAAGATGTAGTTACACGCTCAAGTGTGTTTCCTTTTATTGATATCTTTCATGTATAATCCCTTGTAGTATCCTTTGTAGTATCCTTTGTAGTATCCCATTCTGTGTTTCCTGTCTGTATTGATCACTGTTACCCACACTGTAATTAGTAAGTGCATATATGTTCATGCCAAACTGAAGTCTGGCATCGAGTCAATATTTGTCTCCTGAAGCTCGACAAGAAAGCATTCTTTATAATCATGATAATAGTAGCATCTAAGATGCACATATTACCTATGCATGGTTTTGTCATTCAGCCAGGCTTAAAAAAGCCTTGAATTGTAAGGCCCCTCTTGAAACGCCTCGCTTTTTGTCAAGCTTGAAAATCACCAAAATAGCTTGAAAGGCCTTGAATTTGTACAAAATGACAATACTCGTTAATAAAAGATTAAAGCAGCAAACACACCTAAAAATATGTATCAAAGATGTTTAAGTGAGATTTATCACAGTGATAAGTATGTGTGCCAAAGACCATGGAGAATTCATGACAGACATAATATATTTTTTTGTTGGGTGAAAAATAAATCTTGTTGGAAAATGTGTGATGGTCATACTGCTTCTAAGGTCTCAAGACTAATATAAATAGGTCTTTGAAAGGCATTTAGAAGTGATATACATAAGGCAGATAATATATGGATGTCAACTTCTTCATTATGAGGAACACAGCGTTTCGGAGTATAAGCTCACTCCTTCATCAGGTGAAGGGCGGTTAGGTAGCCTAGTGGTTAAAGCGTTCGCTCGTCACGCCTAACCCGGGTTTGATTCCCGACATGGGTACAATGTGTGAAGCCCATTTCTGGTGTCCCCCGCCATGATATTGCTGGAATATTGCTAAAAGCGATGTAAAACCAAACTCACTCACTCACTCATCAGGTGAATGAATGCCATTAGGCAGAGAGCATATATATGTACATGTAAGGACAACAAAATTAATAAGATAACAAAATTACTGTAAAGTGTTGGCTTCCATTGCCTATTGCAAATCACCGATCAGCGCCAATCATCTGTTGGCTTCCCTTGTTAGTTTCTACCCTTTGTTAATTTCCACCTTTTGTGTAACGGAACCAAGGGTATTTTTCAAGGATCAAAATCGAGAACTGTTTAACAGGCTTATGATAGTCCAAGTCCATTTGTGGAATAGGGCACAGGACTCATTGGCTTTGTTTGAGAAGTGTCGTCACATCTCAATCTACAACTTGATATTCATTGTTTCCTGATTTGTCCACTGTTTTGAGTGAAAGCAATTTGTATACGAGAAAGTTGAATTCATTGGAGACAGTTTTAATTTGTTTGTTGATGTCTGTCGTCCATTATGTAATTAAGTGTTCTGTTTTCCAGAGTGAGCATGGTCGAAGATGCTGCGTCTAGATACAGATAGCAGAGCATCGGAAGCTACAGACCAGGATGTCCTTCGGGAACTGGAGGTACGCTATCCACAGATCTACACACGTAGGAAAGAACGGAAAGCAAGGCAAGAGGCACTGAAACTCTCCAAAAAGTCGACTAACCACAGTCCACGGGTTCATTTTGATAATGAAGATGACAGATCTTTTGGTCGAGATGTTCGAGGCAGACGTCACTCTGAATGCATTATTGGTAATACAGGCAGAATGCAGATTGAACCGGAGATTGTGGGAAACGTTAATGGTGTTGAATCGCTGTTGTCAAATCAGAAAAGTCCTTACCAAAGACGAAATACTAGTCCTGCAATAGACATGTTACCAAGCTGTAAGTCAGATGCCTTGAAAGAAAGACTCAAGAGCAATGCAGAAAGGTTGAATGACCTCTTGTACCACCAGTCGCCGTTCTCTGGTAAAGATGGCAGCTCAACTGCGAGAGAGAATGGTCAAGTGGTGTGGAATGGTGCTGATCATGTTGACCGGCAGCATGAATTGAAACAGGACAGAAGAAATAGTGAAGGGAGTTTGAAAATTCTGACCAACATTCAAAATGGGCATTTGTCAAAGAAGGACCCTTCAGTTAATTTGCTGTGCCAAAGGATATTTAATAGTCAGGATAAGGGTGAAAGGGAAAGAAATTCGGATTTTATCTTCAACACTACATTCCGGAGAAGTTCAGATATTACAGAAGCTTCAAGGCTCCATGATGTCCAGATGACTCAGCTGACAGTGATGTCACCGTTGCAGAGTCCAGAGTCCCAGGCTGATAGTGCTATTGATATGGAATCGGCATCGGTGCAATCAGAGATGTCGGAGCTACGTAACGGAGGTCAATCTTCAGAGTGTACATCTGATATTCTACCCTCTTGCTACAACACAGAATCTAATGGACTCGGCGAAAGAGAAAATACAGAGTTATCTACCTTTGGTGTCAAAAAACATTGCAAGGATAACGAGGTCAGAAATCGGCCCTTATCTAGTGAGTATTTTCATATCTTTTGGGAAGAGATTGTTTTGAAATTGGCTATCAGATTTCCCCTGCCTTCAAATTGAAATGTGCAAAAAAGAATACAGTCTCTCAAACGCCTTTTTTATATTTTTTGCTGAAAATTACAGGTTCACCACAAAAAGTATGCATACAACAGGTTTCACTGCAAGACCATAGGTAGCAATAGCTTCCTGACAAGACAAGCTTATGACTAATACTGCATACTTGGCAAATATTCAAGCTTATTACTAATACTGCACACTTGGCAAATATTCAGATAATCTTAGAAGAACGTAAAGGAACCATTTTGGTGATTGTAAAGAATTGACTATTTACTAAATTTAATAAAATGATAAGTGTTAAATTTCCAGATTTACTTTCATTTTGTATAGAGTCTTCTGTATACGACTTGTTGGCATGTGAAGAAAGAACATATAGGAAAATGTGTGAAAAAGAGAAAGCTGCATTAAAACTTCTCATTAGGTTTTTGATGCACTGGGATAAAGTTATCAGTTCGGGGTTTTCTAAACAACTGATGATGTCATATCAACAGTATTGTATGTTTGTTTATGTTGTTGCTTGACTTTTTACTCAGCAATATTCCAGCTATATGACAGCAGTCTGTAAAGAATCAAGTCTAGACCAGTCAATCCAGTGATTAACATCATGGGCATTGACCTATGCAACTGGGATACGATGACATGCACCAACCAAGTCAGCGAGTCGGACCACCTGATTCCGTTAATTGCCTCTTAGGACATTCTAACCCTAGTTTCTTGGGGTTCAACAGTGTAGTAATATGATATGATATAAGTTCACTTAACCAATAAATATTGAGATTTACCATAAGTAAAGTTATAACACTTTTAGCTTTAACCGTTATGTCCATTAAATCTGTAATACCTGTGTGGATCATTGATGACAATATTGATCACTGGATTGTCTGGTCCAGATTTTATTATTCACAGCCGCCATCATATAGCTGGAATATTGCTGAATGCAACGTTAAAGAACAAACACATACAAGCCGAAAGGAACAGAAATGATTAATGGATAGTATAGATCTAACTGGAAGATATTACAGCTGAGCTGGGGGTTAACAACAAACGCTTGGAAACTTTGATATGCTGTCAATGATCCTATAACTTGCGTTGAACTAATGTCTGTTCAGGTTTAAGGGGCGGTCGGGTAGCCTAGTGGTTAAAGCGTTCGCTCGTTTACAGCGGCCTGTAAATAAGTTATGAGCAGACAATCTCGTGATTGATAAGTGGCAATGATCCACCCCATCAGGGTATGATAACACGCCATCAACCAAGTCACAGTGCCATTAAGTCACCTCTTATGATAAGCACAGGTTGCTGGGGACTTTTTCTGACTAGGAGTGAGTGAGTTGGGTTTAACGCCGCTTTTAACAGTATTACAGTTATATCACGGCATGTCAGCTTAATGTGGGAGGAAAGCCCAAAGTGATGCAGGTCTCAGACGTTTACCACTTCGGTGAAACCCACGAGCACGGGAATGGTGCTGACAAACCTAGAAACATAATCGGGGCGAACCGGGATTCGAACCCACAATCATAAGTTTCTGGCGTGCCCAAGGTCTGCAACTCTGCACAGCAAATCGCAGTGCCTTAGACGACTGGGCCACCCGTGTCCCGCATAAAACCATACTCACTTACTCACTCAGTGCAGGTTTGGTGTGCCTTTTTAGAACATGCTTTACATTTCAATTAACAACTAAGTGCAAAACATGTTTTCCCATACCGTTATTATTTGTGATTACCTCGCATTCATGTACAAGTATTTCTATCAGATAAGAAGCTATGAACCAAGCTGAAACTTAACATGCATGATCCTGACAATAAGATCCAGACAGACAGAGGAAATATTTGTGTGGTGTCATGTCGTAAAGATCTTATCAGCCACATTCCTAGCATTCCTGTGTTTATTAAATCGGAACAAAGACGTTTAGCAACACAAAAGCGGTAGATCAATTAACTGTAATTCCATCAGAGAGCGCTGGATGGAGATCAGGTTAAAGATCTTTGCATATACTACTAGTCAGACAACACATCATGTTTGAATACCTTAAGTGGACCATGAGATGACCCCAAGGTATCTGTCTTCACATTGAGTATTAATATGGCAAGGGTCCCTTGTTTTCAATGTCAGTGCCGTCAAGTGAGCCATACTTGACCGTTATATGATCATGAGGACAGGAAGGCGTTGTGATCTGACCAGCTTTGTCATGAATGGGTTATGTGTGTATTTGTGATATCAAATATTTGTTGAGTCGATCCGACATGCAGGTACAAGGAAACTAACCCCTAGAGTGTTTGAAATATTAATATCAACCATATTTCATTGCAGGTTTATCATTTGTGAGAGTATGTTATGTTAGAGCACATTATATTTCCAAAGGTCAGATATGTTGACAGGTCTATAACATGTTGAATTTTAAATGTTCTCTCTGTGTTGAATGCTGGAATAGAAAAGGTTCCCATTATTTCATTGCAACATCCCAACTTACACCAACATGCAAACTGCAACATTGCAACATTGCAACATCCCAACTTACACCAACATGCAAACTGCAACATTGTCACATCCCAACTTACACCAACATGCAAACTGCAACATTGCAACATTGCAACATCCCAACTTACACCAACATGCAAACTGCAACATTGCAACATTGCAACATCCCAACTTACACCAACATGCAAACTGCAACATTGTCACATCCCAACTTACACCAACATGCAAACTGCAACATTGCAACATTGCAACATCCCAACTTACACCAACATGCAAACTGCAACATTGCCACATCCCAACTTACACCAACATGCAATCTGCAACATTGCCACATCCTAACTTACACCAACATGCAATCTGCAACATTGCAACATCCCAACTTACACCAACATGCAAACTGTAACATTGCAACATTGCAACATCCCAACTTACACCAACATGCAAACTGCAACATTGCAACATCCCAACTTACACCAACATGCAATCTGCAACATTGCCACATCCTAACTTACACCAACATGCAAACTGCAACATTGCCACATCCCAACTTACACCAACATGCAAACTGCAACATCCCAACTTACACCAGCATGCAAACTGCAACATCCCAACTTACACCAACATGCAAACTGCAACATTGCCACATCCCATCTTACACCAACATGCAAACTGCAACATTGCCACATCCCAACTTACACCAACATGCAAACTGCAACATCCCAACTTACACCAGCATGCAAACTGCAACTTCCCATCTTACACCAACATTCAAAATGCAACATTGCCACATCCCAACTTATGTGCAAGAAGCTTGTCTATACCCAGGAATTCAATTCGGATTCCAAACTAAGTGCACTTGGCAGTTAAATTGAAAATAAAATTGTTGTTTCATTCAAAATTGGGATTTTTTAAAAACTGTATATCCCTGCATTCATGGATATTTTGATATTGAGATTTAACAATGAATCCAGTACAATAATGTTAAACGAAGCATTAAAGCCACTTCCTCTATACTGGCCCTGTTATCAGTGAAATACAAGTCACATCGACAAGCCCATAACAATTGCTTGTACAGCATGAATTTGGAAATCTTGACCAACATCTGCTGCAGATTTGGGGCCGAAATAATGGCCTCTAGGCTGGTCTAGATACCTCCCTGTTTCTGATAGTGACTGCATCATAAAAAAATGTGGTTCTGATTTCATTTAGTTCATAGCATGGGTGGCCCAGATGTATGATTTTTATCTTTTACCAGATAACCAGATTTTTAACCCCGGATCTTATATTTTATACTGACAGGACCTGCTATTCTCTTTTATCTAAGCAGACAGAAATGTTATATAGGTTAGCATTTTAGCGTGTTGTTTATGGTAAAATTTTATGTGATATTTTTTAAAATGTGTGTTTATCGCTACATTTCTTACTGTCTCTCGTAAATCCCTGAGCGATTGGTTGTGCACATTTTATCCCATCGTAGGTTTACTTATGTCTACTATAATGTTTTATATACACCAGCGAGACATTGATGATCAGGTTGATGATGATCTTAGGCATTGCTATTGACTGTGCAGAGTTGTGTCCCTTAGACATTCCAGAAACCTGTAATTGTGGTTTCAAATCTCACACACACACTTTCAAACATATATACAAACTGCATTTATGTTGGATATTGGTTGTTTGTTCGTTTGTTGTTTAACGCCCCACTCAGCAATATTCCAGTTATATGACGGCAGTCTGTAAATAATTGAGTCTGGACCAGTGGACAATCCAGTGATTGACATCATGGGCATCGATCTATGCAATTGGGATACGTTGACATGCATCAACCAAGTCAGCGAGCCTGACCACCCTATCCCGTTAGTCGCCTCTTACGACAAGCATAGTCGCCTTTTATGTCAAGCATGGGTTGCTGAAGACCTATTCTACCCCGGATCTTCACCTATGTTGGAGAACTTTTGTAAAGATAATAGTTTTTGGACTATTAAATATTCAACTGCATAACTGTCACGGAAAAGATTTCGCGTTATATATGGTAGATCAGGTAATTGGAAGAAAATCATTTTATTCCTAGTCGGGATTCTTGGCTCACATAGGTCCCCAGCAACCATGCTTGTTGTTAGAGGCGACCAAATGGATCGGGTGCTCTGGCGCTGTGACTTGGTTGATTGCGTGTCATCATACCTGACCATGTGGATCCTTGTTCTTGATATCAATCCAGATTACATTAGTTGCAGACCGCCATCATATAGCTGAAGTAACTCATTTTTTTAAATAGGCCAAAGGCAATATTTTTTTTTCAAACCAGTTTCAGGTACATGCGTATTGGCTGGAACACTAAGCTCAAACACTTAGTCATCTCATATATGAAGGTCAACTGCGAGTCGAGTGAGTGAGGGAATAGTTATTAACGCTGTAGTCAGCAATATTCCAGACATGTCTTGGTGGCATGCTTTG